TCTTCCAGGTGGTTGTAAGGGATCTTTGTGAATCTTGGGCAAGGTGTATAGCACAGGGTGCTTCGGGTGTTTTGCAAATAAAAATTGAGCAGTTTTTGTGTCCAAGTATTCACATTGTATTCCAAGATCGATGTGATTTTGTATTCTCTTTTGAAATTTCTTTGTAGGATCAAAAGTAAGTTTGGCATATGTCAAAGTGTAATTTAATTGCCAGTAGATTTCAGTTTGATAGCTGTGGTATGACTGGATGACAGTGGCACACCCTTTGTCAGCTGACCGTATTATAATGCTGGGGTCTTGTCTAAGATCCCTTAAAGCGATTTTTTCTCCAGGTGTCAAATTTTGGTGATGTTTCGGTGGATTTTTAATTATTCTCTCCGTGTCTGTTTTAACAGTTTGAATGAATGTTTTAATCGAAGAATTTGCAGTACGAATATCCCTTTCATTTTTTTGTATGGAATGGATGTACTGTAGTCTGTGTTACATGTTTTCTCAATTCATTGCTGTATAATGTTCTTTGGATTTTATATATTTTGACCTCCATCATAAAAGGATCAGGTTTAGCAACGGGGACAAATGAAAGGCCCTTGTTCAATAATGAATAGTGGTCAGAATTGAGAATTTTGTCAGATAAATTAAATACCGTGGTCATCTTCTCATTCTGGGTGGTTTTGACATAAGGTTTATATTTTTGGCAGTTCCTCTGCCCTCGCCGTATTGGTCGGCTTTTTTTGCGCCTCGGGTATTGATGCGTGATATCTCTGGTGGTTCATCTGGATAACTGCCTCTTTCTATAAAATTCATTTTTTGCTGCATCCTGCTTGGTAATATGTAATATATATTATGCGCAATAGCAATCCTTTTCTATTTTTTCTTCCTTGTATTGTTTGATATGTTCAAATAAGATTATGTTTTTGATAGACTAATATTTTATATTGGGAATGATGTTTAAAATTGGGAATTATTCACGTTTGATTTGCACCAGGTTTATTTATCACTTATGTTTCTTGCACATTATTTTTTCCATTGAGTTCACTTATTAAAACATCACTTTATTAACACTATATATAGCTGTGGGAGAACACCACTGGCTATTCTTACTCTGTGTATATAGATCACATATCTACATATCTTACTGTGACTTCGGAGTTAGACACTCGCGATCTAATGATTTGTTTTACTGGTATCCTAGTAACGGATAGCACGTCATCACGTTTGAATCACGGCACATCAAGTGACCGCGGGTTCACTTCCGGGTACACACGGAGGGATTGAGGGAGTTTGTTCACTATTGGTAAGTACATTATTAGATTTACTATATATTGACTGTATATATTTGGTTAAATTGATCTTGAGGAAGACCCTGTACGGTCGAAACGTGATATAACGTCACAAACACTGGCCAAAATTGGCGTTCAAATTAGTTTTTTGCGTTTTTCACACACAAATATTAACACTAACTTTGGCCAGTGTTTGTGACCAAGTGGCTACTAAAAAAGACTGGACATACTCCATTTGCAATACCTTGGGTTGTCTACTATTGCAAATGGTATGCCATCATGGGGGTAATTCTTATTCCTGGGCTACCATATGGTCTCAAAGGCAACATCTGGCGAATTTCAATGTGAAAAAAAATGAAAAATATAACACGCTATATTGGATCCTGTAACTTCCCAAAACACCATAAAACCTGTACATAGGGGTACTGTTTTACACGTGAGACATCGCTGAATACAAATATGTGTATTTTATTGCAATAAAAGCAAACAGTATTTTGACATTCACAGTTAAAATGCCACGTAGAACTAAGGAAATAAAAAATAAAAAAAAATAAAAAATTATCCCATTTTTTTATATATATTAAATTATGTTCCATACCTAAATATTTGATGTTAAATGAAAGCCCTGTTTCCCCTAAATAAAATGATATATAATAAGTGTGGGTGCATTTAATATGAAAGAGGTGAATTACGGTTGGACAGACATATAGCGCAAATGCCAGGTTTTGTTTACGTTTTGTTTTGATCACAACTTGTACATTTGGCTGCAGTCTTAAGGGGTTAAACCAGCAGATAAGGCTAAAGCGATAGTGGTCATAAACAAAAGAACTACATCACGGAATAATTCAACAACTGGTGGACCCCTCCGCCTTTGAGAAATGCCATATGAATCCCCTACCAGAATCAAAAACTGACATTAATAAACACAAATGGAAAACAAAGGAACAACATACACCTGGGAAAAGGCATATCTAGTAAACACAGATCAGCGTTACCTATACACAGCACAGAAAGTGAAATGTTATACATTGCTGCAACATCAGCTTATACAAAATGCAAGTGTAACAAAACACAATTGAGTACTTATCGCAGATGAGATAACTAAATCAGAAAGCTAATAAATGCAATGAATTTGGTTTAACCCTTTAAGGACAGAGCTTCAAAAGCTTGTCTTTCACTTAACGACAACAGCATTTTTTGCTGTTTGCGTTCAACTGCAATTTGCATTTTACTAATTTATTGCACCGACACATATTATATACCAATTTTTAAAGGA